CAGCGGGGGGCACGGGGCGTCTCGGCAGTGCTGACCCAACCCGGGGGCTCTGTGCCCCCCGAGCTCGGCAGTGGGTGAGCTGCCTCCTGCCGCCGGCTCTCGCTCTGTGGGAAGCTCCCTCCTCAGCATCCTTCTCTGCTTGTTATTCACCCGTGAGTGTTTCTGAGGTTTTTCAGACAGGTGATGCTGAAGCCAAAACCTCCAGCCTGGTCCCCGCAGGGAACCCAGTTCAGGGATTAGCAGACAGGTTCCGAAATGCGCTACGAACCCCGGCCCACAGACGAGCTCTGCCCTTCCCAAGGCTTGGGCATAAACTTCGAGACGGGACTAGCTGGCAGCTCCCCCCTGCGTCGCGGGCTGACAGCTTCAGAGGACACCAGCAGGGATTTCTGTATTGTCACTCGTCCCTGCTCTCGCTGCGCAGATTGCTTCAGAGATGGCACTCGGTGGAGTTTGACCCATGAGCCCTGATAGTGACAATCATACACTTCTCACAGAGCCACGGGAGACCGAAAGAGTAACTTCGGGCAATTAGTTTAACTTTGACTATAAATATTCCTTCTCATTCCTTGTGACACCACTAACAGCTCCGCTGGCAAATCCCGATTCTCTGGCAATATTTAAGCTGCCTGTCAGTTGGCAGAGGCTTGGTGGTGCCCGGCGCGGGGAGCAGAATGAGACCCAGCTGAGCGCAGTAAGTTCCCTTTCAGCTTCTACCTCGAGTCGGGGAGCTCCGGTTGCCGCGTGGGTTCGGGGCTGCTGCTGGGCTGCGTTTCGGCCCCGGCGAGCGGTGGTGACTTTCGGAGGTGGACGGACCTGGGAATGCTTAAAAACATCCCGTTGAGGAGGCATTTAGAGCGATACAGTCCCGACGGGTTCCTCGAGACCCACGTGGGCTGCGTCTCTCCCGGGACCATTGATAAAGGGCTGGCTTCAGCGGCTTCATTTCAATGCCACGGATGTTCCTTCCTCACAATCTCTGGCGAGGAAAGCGCCGCAGCCTGTGCCAGGAGAGGAGG